AAGGGTTAAGGGTTTAGGGTTAAGGGTTTAGGGTTTAGGGTTTGGGGTTTAGGGTTTGGGGAACTTCATTTAAGTTACCTTGAGCTTGCCTTAAGGGAGGCTCTCAGAGGGTGGGTCCTTTATAGGTGAGTTCTGAAGTTAAGGAACTTAAGTTAAGTTACCATAATGGGGATCCATAGGAAGTAATACGGTTTCTTATTGTAGTAACTTAAAGTAGAACCCTCAACAAGAACCCAGCTTACGGGATTGGGGCTTTGGGGTTTAGGGTCTTGAAGGGTTTTGGGTTTTATGGGTTTGTGGGTTTTAGGGGGGTTTTAGGGCCTCTTTTGAGTTTAGAGTTTTTGTTGTTTAGGGCTTCTAGGGTTTAGGGCCTTGGATCTAGAAGCAGAGTGCCGTAAACGGGGTGCCTCATTGAACGATTTCTGATGGCATGTATTCTGCTGTAACTCATTGGCATCCAACGACAGAGGGGTTATACCTATAGTGCGATGGTTAGAACAGTTGAAAGCATTTGGCTAGAAGTTAGAAGAATACAAGGGTATAGAAATATGGGGTTCTGTGTTTTTAACAGGGTTTGAGGAAGCCAGGTTATGCTGAGGTAAAGATACGATTAACTCCTCCAGAATGCCATGAATAGAGTGGATGGTGCCTCCGGGAATGTGGACGTGGTGGGACGGTCTCAAACGGTGTTACGGTATTATCATTGCCGCTTCGGGGTCATTGTGCTTGAAAGCCCATGTAGGACGAGAAGGATAGGAATGCATTTCCGCAGGGACGAGCAACAGCGATAGCCACAATGCTGATATGACCATGGAACGAGTATCAACAATAGTGGTAAACTAAACATAGTAGCGAGGAAGCGTCATCGTAGCAGCGAGCTACCAGCAGCACCCATGATTGCTGTCATAGTTGCCGCAATCGTGATGGTCGCAATTCTCGTCTTGCAGGCATCGACGGTGCGAGCAGTGCTTCACCGCATGATAGTTATATGTTCGAACTAGCAAACATTACATTCACTGGTCAACATCGACGTTCTAGAAAGAGGGCACCATACCACTATACCAATAACCTTAGCAATCGTGAGAACCATGTTGTTCAACAATGCGGTGCACACAGCGCAAAGCAGTACCTGAAGCAGCCCGAGCCTTCACCCCAGAAACGTCTAATGTAGGCCATACGCCTTTAAGCTTTTAACTTCGAGCATTGAGAACATCTCGGATCTCTAAACCATCTGAAACCCCAAAACCCCACAAGCCTGAGCCCTAAATCCCAAACCATGAGCCCCACACATCCCTGCCCTCAGCCCCAAACCCGCATAACTGCAAGCCTCAAACAGAGTTATTTAGCAGACTATCATCTGTTATTGCCATGTCTAACTGTCTAGATGCTGCAGATGACCAGACAAATAAAAGAACCCAAACCCCAAGAGCCCAAATACAACCTCTGAGGCGCTCCTCGAGCTGACCGGGGCACCCACCGAGGCTGCGACGGTGAAGTTCGGAGCACTGGTCGTTTTATTATTATTATTATTCTTATTTTTTTTTTTGGGGGGGGAGGGGCTTTGGGCTCCTTTGCTAGAAGAGCTGGGGATGTAGGCTGTGAGGCTTTTTGTTTCAAGCGGGTTTGGGGATGTCAGGTTTGCTTGGATCTTCCATGAAACTGTGAACCCTAAATCCCACAGTCCCAAGCCCTGCTCCCTTGACCCTAAAGCCTGAGCGTTAGAGACCTTTCTAGAGACGCTTGCAAGAATCCTCACAACAACACGGGCTTGAAGAACCACGGTACTATGCCAGCTTCTTTTCGCTTGCCTTTTGCGCATGACTCCAGGTCAACATGCAAACCCGGACACCCAAAAACTGAAGAAAGCTCATGTACTGGCTTGAGAAACACGGGCCTATTTTGGTTGGACTCTCTGTTCCTGAGGGCTCTGTCCAGTTCAGCTATAACTAAAACATGCCCGACAACCCTACATGTCCCTACATCTCTTTTGCATCTTTGTGTGGGGGAATCCCACCCCGATCCCAAACGAATCCCAGGCCCAATTACTGAGAATCCCACCCCCCAAATATTCAGGAACCCTACCCCAATCCTAAACCCCAATCCTAAACCCTAAACCCTAAACCCTAAACCCTACACCCCACCCCAATTATGAAGGAATCCGAGCCCAATTATTAAGTTTCCTCTGCCCCAAGCATGACGGAAGCCTACCCCAAAAGTGAGGGAACCCCACCCCAATTATTGAAACCCTAAGCCCTAAACCCTAAACCTTAAAAAAGAAAGAAAGAAAGGCCCTAAACCCTAAAACTTAAAACAAAAACCCTAAACCCTGAAACCCAAATTATGAAGGAATCCGAGCAGGTGGTGCAGTTCCGGGACCCAGGTTTCGACCCAGAGCTCTTCTGGGCTCGGATGGTTTCTCTCCTCCAGGCGGAGTTGGGGTCGATGGGATTTCCTTTTGGGGTTCTCTTTTGCCTTTTAATACAGGGCCTCCCTCAGGGTTCTGTAGGGGTTTTATGTTGAGGATTCTTGAGGAGGTTTCGACCGGTTGCGGTGTAGTTTAGGGTTTAGGGGTTTAGGGTTTAGGGTGTAGGGCGTATTTGGACATAGGCTTGGGCATTGTGGGGGTTGAGGATGTTACTCTTGCCAAGGGTTTAGGGTTTAGGGTTTTAGGGTTTAGGGTTCAGGGTTGAGGGTTTAGGGGTACTGGATCCTTGTAAGACCTTGCAATCCCCAACTCTCCGCGTATGGGGAAGAGCTAACGTTTGAAGGGGCCCCAGAAGGGCCCAATATAGGGGCCTAAATACCAATACCATTTTGGTGGCTCCTTATTACACTTATAGTCAAAAACACCCCAAAGCCGTATCTATTCTAATTATTGCGAAAAAGTTGTTCATGGTTTCAGACGATCGATTCCCTGTTTCTTGATTGTGCTTCCCTTTTTCTGGTCTAGAATCCCACGTGTTTTCAATTGTGTCTGCCGTCTGCCCCAAGCAACCTCTACGCTTTGATACTCTCGTAAACAACACTAGCAAAGCTTGGAAGCCCGAGCTCCCCAAGAGCAATGAGAAGCCCCAACTCAAGCCCTTCGACCTGGGACCCCTAGACGCACCCTAAACCTTAAACCCTAAACCGTGGTGTTTTTTTTGTTTTTCAGGAAACACTATGAGGAAGTCCAGAAAATCAGCCCCAGCCCACCAGCCCAGACCCCAGCCGACCCCCCCGGCCTGGAAGGCCAGGTTCAACAGGAAAATCCGCTCAAAACTGCTCAAGACTTATCGGCAAACCACTAGTAATTTCGGCAATTTTCCCTCTTACCGGAACCCAGAATAGCTCGTTGCTTCCTCTTACCCTAAACCCTAAACCCTAAACTCTAAACCCTAAGCACTCTCTTTCATATAGTATTTAAACCTTAATTACCTTCGCGGGATTTGCTCACTTTTGAGCAAATCCCGCGAATTTCAGCAGCTGGCCCGGCGAAAACACCGCAAACATTCGTGAGATTTGCGCACTTTTCAGGCTCGCTGGCGGGAAATACCGCAGACATTCGTGAGATTTGCTCACTTTGGAGCAAATCCCACGAATTTCAGCAGCTGGCCTGGCGAAAACGCCGCAAACATTCGTGAGATTTGCTCACTTTTGAGGCTCGCCGGCGAAAACACCGCAAACATTCGTGGGATTTGAGGTGCTCTTAAAAATTTGCTGATCTGGATGCGAACGTGAGTGCGATCGTTCGACAGAATTGACCTATATGAAGTACTTCGAAGGTGCGAGTAGGTGATATGGTAGGCTGTGTGAATGTAGATCCTTGGTGTTAAAAGAGCGAAGTTTTTATTTTCCAATGTTATGGGATTCAGGGGTGGGTGGGTGCTATTTCGAAACCCGAACTAACTTAACCTTAAAGCTGCTCGATCCGGAGCTGCTGAACCCTAAACCCTAAACTTTCCTAAACCCTAAACCCACAATAAGCTCTCTTTTGCTTCCTCAGGCCGGCTGCCCGATCGGCTGCGGCACCGGTGCCGAGACCCTGGAAGAGCTCGGGCTGGTAGGCTGGGGATTCTCGGAGGGTTTGTGGCTTTAGGGGTTTAGGGTTTAGGGGTTTAGGGGGTTTAGGGGTTTGGATAGGGGTTTTAGGGGTTGAGGGGTTTGGGGTGCTTTTTGGTGGTGCTTTGTTAGATCCGTATCTTGGGTTCAAAGTTTGGGCGGGTTCAGGGGTGTAAAGGTTCACGGCCGCGGGAATACGCTGAATTTAGAGATCCAAGCATATCAACCCTAAACTTCCCTAAACCTTAAACCCTAAAGCCTTAAAGCCCTAAATCCTAAACCCTAAACCCTAAAACCCTAAACCCTAAATCCTAAACAGCCCTAAACCCTAAACCCTGAAACCCTCCAGCCCCCCGAAGGTCAGCACGCCTACTCCGTCCTGGAGACGGATGAGTCCGCCTT